AATCGTTGTTTGCATGACGTCACACTGGTGCAACTTGTTTACGTTTTCCTTGCAACATTTTTTCTTCTTCTTCCATTATTGCTCACGTTTTGGCATTTCTCTCTCGCAATTGCACCAGTGTGACGTCACACAAAAGTTATTCTCAAAAATCCTCTCTGATCGGCGCAATCTTGTATTCTATCATTCTTGCGTACATATCATGAAATCGTTAAGAGTACCCGTTAGAGATGAGTTGGGGACAAATTGATCTCCAGTTATACTCGCAAGGGATGAGTATGAGACTAGTTGCGACTAATTAATGCCCAATTGTACCCGATAGAGAGTAATCTCGGAATACTCTCTTTAGAGATTAGTCCCACAATTTTTTGCAGGGATGGCTTTAATCGTATATACATGCATAATTTGACGACAGGCTGGCTAAGCGAAGAAATGAATACACACATTGCCAAGTATATTGCCCAATGTTTGTCAAGTGTACCTCTTCGTATAGTAGTTTTATTTTTGAATAGCCGTTAACCCTTATACTTACACCCAGTATATGGTACACCCTTGGTCTGGCCAGACCTCCATATATTATGAATTATTATTATTATTATTATATATTGAGTAGAATAAAAAAAGTGTATGCATACACTGAAAAAAATAGTAAACGATATCGTGTTTATTTCAAACCAAACTCTTGGAACCTAACGAATAACAGCCCACATGTGAATTGTTTTCTAATCTTGACGTGGCGATTGCGAATAGTTTTTCTGTTAAAAAATTTTAAATCGCTAACATGGAATAATAAAAAAGACTCCGTTCGTAAAAAACTAGTTTAATTTTTTCTTAGTGGATGGATATATATGTATAAAGAATGAGATAACATTTATGATTGTTTCAATTCAATTGGTATAGAATTTTTATCAATTGGATCATAAACAACTTGCCGAGCTACATACATATGTATGTACATTAGGGTGGTCCAAAAATTCATATGAAAAAGTAAGGCGGAATTTTAATGCTCGCACCCCTAGGACTGTTTTATACCGAAAAAATGTTTCTGATCTTTTTTTTTTAATTTCAAATTAAAAAAAATATTTTAAGGTCGCTCAAAACGCTCAAAGTTTTCCGGTATTTTGTATGGGAAGAGAAACAATTTTCGCACAAATCGTATAGAATACTTGAAAATCTATATTTTTCGATCAGCAAACTCTCGTTATCTTCAGGAGACTTCCAATAATAATACCCAGTTATTTACTATACTACTTTCTAATACTAACGTATTTTTATTGCATTTTTTTGGGGTTATTATGGGACCATAAAAAATAGTTAATTTAAAAAAATGGTTAAATAAACAATTGGGTGTTAAACACCAAAAAAAAAAAATCCAAATTACCAAAGGGCTTTCGCCAAGGACTAACTTAGCCGGCTTAGGTAAAATACATGCAACTTTGTGGAATTTGCCCAAGCAGAAACCTTGCAAAGATTTTACTACATAAGTTATTTTGGTTACGATAACAAAAAAACTTAGTAGGGTAATTTAGCCAAAGTTATAGGTTGTGCTGCATCCGAATTTAAGTTAAGTTTGCATAAGTTTTTCTCTGTGTGTATCATGGAATATAAATCCGATCCAAAATCATTTACTTACTGAAAATAAGTTTTAAAAATCAGTATGGTCTAGCCGGAACCGTGTGGCTGCATAAGGGTTAAAGGAACAGAAGCATACGGATGAGGTCATCGTATGTATGTATGTAGCTAGACACGTTGAGCATTTTGAGCTGGCCACATGGTGGTCATTTCCATGAAATTGTTCATTAAAGCTTGACACACAAAAACGGTGGTCCTTAAACGCGTGCGCAGCACCTTGCAGCCTCTTCAAACAAACGCAAGTGTACACAAATCAACTAATGTACTTAAAAATGTATATACATACAGACATATTTATGCATACAGTATGTGTGTACAAAGCACATATGACACCATCAAATTCGTACAACTAACGCTAATTACTTTGGCCAACCAATAAATTTCCAGCACTTGAAGTTGCATAACTACATACAACATGCGTACATACAAATGTCTGTGTGTATTCGTCAGTAGGGGCAACTGATATTTGTGTCCGTCTATGCAGACACCAATGCATTTACAAGTTTATTTGCTGGAGCACTTTGTTGCTGCTGATGCAAGAGCAATTTTCTTCGGAAGCCTGTCACATTTTGTATGCCTGACAATTCTTCGGAAGTTGATTGAGGTGTGAGCCTTAGTGCTTCTTTTCCAGTTTAATGCTTTACAGCTCCTCGTTAAAGCGCGTTATTAGACAACGGAGCGAGATTCACTCCCCCATAGAATGGGTTATTAACACCTTGTAAAAGCCTACTGGTCAATAGAAAAGATTATTAAACTCTTAATCGTTCTTCTTGAAAATCATTTTTTGCCATTTTTCGTTAAATACATTTTATCTGTGTTTGGTTAGTAGGTCTCTAATTTCATAGAATTTCATTTGTCGTTTTTAGAACATTTCAAAACTACTTTCTTTCTTTGTTTGTTGTCAGTTCACGGTGGAGTACTATTTCCGAAATCTTTAAGTGGCATGTAGATACCAGATATACATTC